CTTCTGACAACACTCCTGAACCACACTAGAAGGCTTAGCCAGTTGCGGTAGCAGACGTTAAAGACAGCAAGGGGCACAGCAGGGGCTAGGACTCAAATGAAGTTTCAGATGATCACTGAGAGGAAAAGGTGTAAACTGTATTTATTAGCATCATCTCTATTTGGCTACCACTATAACGTCTGAGCAACTCATATGCATAAGCCATGACTGGAACGTTAGGGGCTATTTACTGGCTCTAATGTTGGGTTTCATGTTTCTTAACTGTGAAGGCGCATCTACCTTAACAAGCATGTTCAGATGAATAAAACATCAGCTAACATATTTTTAGATGAGCTCTCTGCTCTAATGTAGGCATGGCTTTAGGGGGTTACCATTAATTTATAAACAACTACCTCATCAGATAACAATTCTTCACACCTAACATTCAACAAGTGTTAGAAGAACAGGTATAAACAGTATCTCTTGAACAAGATGAGCTCTTGTAGTTTTTTAAATGATGTGCAAAAACTATGATCGTATTGTGTAATGCAAATGGTAAATGATCATGTATTTTGGTAGTACTGTTTCCTGCTACATGTTACACTGCTTTGCAACCTGATTCCAAACCTTACTCTATATGCTTATGAGTATACTTACGCCTGGTTAAGCATTGCATAGTTCTCAACTTCTGAAGGATTTGGCAGATACTCTAAGACAGCATCCAGCAATGGCTGTACTCCTTTGTTCTTCAGAGCACTTCCCACAAGTACAGGGGTAAAGGACTTCTTCAGTGTTGCTCTTCTGATTGCAAGCTAGAAAAGTATCAGTGCATTACTCTCCTTCTGCAGTAACTTCAGGAGTCAGATGCAGTACTAATCATATAGCATTACAGATGCCATTCTCTGTCTTTACTGGTTATCTTCGCTCCTGGAGTAAAGCAGCTGCCCGCACAGTCTCCTGTAGAACCCCCCCACACCAGAGCCTCCCATGAAAGTTGCTCAATAGTTGTCTAGAGAAGTTTGAGGATTTTTGCTTCATCTTAAATTCAACTTAAAATGAATGAAAATACATAAGCTAAAACATAACGATAACCCCCAAAATTTAGAAAGAGATTCTTGATTCTATATTGATAAAGTCATGATTCTTCATTTCTGTTTTTAGGTCTCATTTCCCTTCCATTTCCCCTGTTTATTGCATTGGAAAACAATACATATTTAGATTTGAGAAACTAAAATGAGATGCTTTGACATCTTTAAAGCTCTGTACAGCTTTTCAGAAAAAGAAAGGTAGAGAAAGGCTATTTGGAGAATGTTCATGCTGAATGAATCATCACTCTTACTGAAAAGAGTTTTGACATCGCCACAGAAGAACCTATTCACGCTCTTCTGCAGACCTGCTGAAGTGACACTGACTATCTTGGGAATCCTTCCACGACATACTAGTAAACATAGTTAAGATAAACTAACTGCACAACAACCTCATGCTTATTCAGTGCCTTTCACCCAAGCATCACACAACACTGCAAAACACAGCTGAGGGCCAAAAGCCTCCAAAACAGCAATCATAGCTGTCTTCATCAAAGATGTAGAAAGGTGGACAAAAGCTAACTGCTTGCCCCCTGAAAGATCAGTTCCTGAACCCAGGATCACTAACCTGGTCTCACCTCTCCCTGCCACTAGAGGATGCTATCTGCCCACATCTACAAAGGCCTTCACTCCAAATGAAAGCAGTTGCTGTCTTTGGTAAGCTAAAAAATTGAGTTCTCTGTAAGCACATTAGCTGACCTGGGAGTTTAATTCAGATACAGAAGGCTAAACAACTTTTATAGCTAAGAGACAGCAATTCAGAATATCTAAGCCAAAAACTGTTAACAAAGAGAATAGACTTTGAAAAAGCAAACTGATTTAGAGGAAGAACTTAGAAAAGGATCTAGTATTCTCAAACTTAAAAATAAATGAATAACTGTTTCCTTAAATTTGTTGATTTAATGACTTTGCAAAAGCAATGCAAGGATAAAACTCCCCACATCAGCCTTTCTGCTCATCCAGCCCATCTCTTTTCCGCACTCCGGTGCGCGTGGAACATATTGCCGTGCTGATGCCCAGGGTTCCTATTTTGCCACGTTGTTTTCAAATGAAGCAACAGGGCTGCAACTGATCATCAACAATTACCTCAGGAAAAAAAAAGTCATTTTATTTTTGTATAAAGACTATTGCTACTGAGGGCCCCACTGAGCAGCTGGGGCCTATCAGTTGCTTGAGTATAGCATTTTGGACAGTAGCACATGAAGTGTTTGTTTAAGCAGCTGATCTTTAATGAACATCATATGCTAAGACTGTGACCTCCAGGAGTGATACCTAGCCTCACTTCTATGAAAAGATATTTTCAGTGGAAACTTGGCTGCTGGCCACTGAAAGAAAATCCATCTTCAGGGACATATTAATACAAATTAACCTGCATCTTCAATGCTACAGCCATTATAACTATAATTAATTGGCTTTCAGAAGTGGGAAGCAGAGGCATGCTGAATAAACCAATTCATTTTTGCAACCGATTTCCCTCTCAGCAGGAGCTATTGAAAATAGCTTCCTGCTGGAATCTCTCACCTCTTAGAGAAATACAGTGTAGTCCCATCTGTATTGTTCTCTGCTCCAAGTGGAAGTTAGATCCTTACAGGTATCCTATATATGCTACTATATTTTGTCTTTACCAACTAGAAAAGGGCGGCTTTGCAACACGAACAGCTCATGCTTCATAAAATATTACTTCATTACTGGAAATGCCAAATAACTAAACCCCTGATTACTGGAGTAAGACCTACATTTGCTTAGCGCTTCTGAAAAAAGCCTTGTGCTTTCACGTGTCAAGCCAAGCTGAGATATACAGATTCCTCCATAGTCCTACAGACTTGAAGCACCAGTAAATCACCCACACAGCCACAACAAACTTTTCTTTTTGGTAACGCTAAACCCCAGATATGTTATAAAGTTAAAAGTGATCAAAGTTTAGGGGCTATGAAGGTTTAATAAATAAACCTTAAGGGGCTCCGCAACGCACCTCAGCTTTATGTGACTGCCAGGCTTCTATATCTCAAGAGATATAGCAGGCAACTTCTACAGGAAAGAAGGCAGTGCAAACCTTGACAGGAGAAGAGAAAAGAAAGAGTACTGCACAGGGGCAACCAGGCACTGCTAAGGAGCTGAATACTGACAAGAGGACTTAAATATCAAAGCTGTGCTTGAAGTAAAAATCTCAGTGATCACGTCTGAGTTCAGCTCAGCTGGACTTTCAGGCTCCACTCAGTGAAATAATTCCTGCTTATAACGTTTAGGTTTGAACTCAGCTGTCTTCTTCAGCTGCCAACTGAAGAGCACGGCTGCACACAAGCAAAAGGAGGTGGCTAGTGCCATGCCACGTAGAGGCCAGGCCCCAGTGAAACTCTGTGCACCACCACTGCTCAAAGGCAAGCTGCTCCAGCTACGACAGTGGCTCTCCAAGAAAAAGCAGTCCGCCCAGGAGGTTTAACCCACTGCAATAGACTTTCTAGACATCACTTTTTTAAAATCACATTTAGCCATCGGTCCCTGTAGGAGTTGGAATCTTCAGTTAAGTAGTAACTATTAACAGCAGGCACTAGAAGATTATTGCTTAAGTTAATTTCTCTTGACAGTGGCAAAAGGTGATGGCAAACAGCACTGCAACAAGGGGCAACACACAAATCTTTGCACCAAGCACGCGTTAACGGGAACCTAAATGGCCATCACCAGGACAAAAAGGGCAAAAAAACCAACCAAGCTGCGATCTAGCCTGCAAAGCATACAGCCCTCAATATGGTTCAGCCCCCAATATGGGTCTCTCACACTACTGGCCGTCTAGAAAGACACAGCCCAACAAATTGCTATGTCAACAACTGCGTATTATTGTCTTGAGTTTATCTACTCTGTGGGGCTGTATGGTAAATGTAAGCTCGCTTAGCACTTCTTCGGTAAGGGTAAGTGCCCTCAGATTACCTCACACTTATGGCACTGTAAAAGTGATTACGTACCTGGTACAGGCTATCTTCTAAAAGCTTCGCTATCCCAGTGTTAGCACATCTATCTAGACTAAAGCTAATACCATAGTAACTCAGGAGGCATCATTAGGCAACTTAGGGTCCTTAGAGGAGGCAGTATGCCCAGACTGTCAGATTTGTCATAAAGCAGTCTAAAATGTGGACTACGCCTTAGTCTGCTCTCCAGACTCCAATGAACAGTGTAAGCTGATCTTATCCTGGAGCAAACAGTAGCTGAACTTGCAGAACGGTTGCACAACTGCAGCTGAGTTTCCTAAGCCTCCCTATCACCTTTTATAATGTGGATGTGCACTCAAGGTAACAGCGATGTCCAACTGCCACAAGAACAAATAATTTTCAGTCTGTGGCCACCTGCTGTAGGGCAAACGGTGCTCTTCATTACTTCTATGAGCATCCCTTTATGTTGGAATGTCTTTTGCCATGCAATATCCAAAGCATTTCATAAAATAAATCATGCATCAATTTTTCCCTCTTTCAAGAAATAGAATTTTCTTGTTTCCTGAAAATTGTATTTTGGCCAGGATTCATTTCTTTGGATTCTCAAAAAAGGTCACTCAAATTCACTTTTAGAGTACTGGTCCTTTCACCTTAGATGGATGTAATCAATGCAAATGTAAAATGAGGCCAGATTTCTTATGCACAAAGACTTGAAGTAAGTCACATCCAGCAAGTTGTAGCATGAATAGGCAACGGAATGACCCCCCCCCCCCCAAAATACTAAAAATATTTTAGAGACATTTGCTTGTCTCCAAGGAGCACAGAAGCTCAGAATTTCCAGTGCAAATCTACCAAGAGATCTAGTGACCAAGGTCTTTAGTGCCTTCAGTCAAATTAGTTCCCTCCCCTCCCTTTTTTTTTTTGAAAGCCCACTAGCGCAAATTGCTTTTATAGAAGGAAGAGCTCAAAAAAATCAAGGGTTGAATGGGCTCTCCGCTGGGAGCAAACTGGGAACCAACCTGTAGTAGGTGACACTCATACAAGAGGACTCAGGCACACAAAATTTCTTCAAGACTTAGAAGTTTTCTAGGGGAAAAAAGGACACATTGCTACAGGAACAAGGACCACCAAACGTTACCTTCAAATCAGCAGCTGTAGGAATCTTTTCTTCCAAAAACAGTTCCCCAAGCTGATCATCTGAGTTAGCAACACATTCGATCAATTCTCGGCGTCTTTCTGCAGCCTCAGCTCTAAATTCAGCTGGAATTTCATCGTATCGAAGAGTCTGGCTAAACAGATGTAAATAACGTAACTACTCTAAGAAAATACTGTATGAATCAAGCTTTGAATCACTAATGATTGTGATGACCAGCCTGATCAAAAAAAAAATCACCACTGACATGGATATCAAAAAAAAATCACATAAGAATGTCAACTTGGTATCTTTGATGCTTTAGCAGGGAAGGGTTTCTTCCCGCTCACGGCAGGAGTTTGCAAAGATGCAGGATAACCTGTTCATCAACCTCACCCGCATCTTATCTTCCCCCTGGTCAATCTCATGTCAAAACACACACTATCGGTGCCAGCCACGAAGCAAGTCTCCTATTTCTCAGGGAAGCAAGTGTGTCTGCCATCCCTTCATACTCCTGCAGTTAGCAAACAATTCATGCTGCAGGTACCAGCTGCACTGAACTTGACCCCGCAGAATTATTTTGCTGTAACTTGTAGAGCTGAAAGTTGATACCTTAGCCCGAGGCACAAGCAACATCCCTAATTTCCCAAATAGTGTTTTCTTTCATCAGCTATAGTTTTCTGCATTTCAGCATTACCTATACAAATAGTGGCTTCAGCATAAGGAATATTTAAGTTGCAACACTTACCCAAGTGCACCATCAAAATATATAGCTCTTTCTTCAATAAGGTCTATAATTCCTTTAAAGTTTCCCTCCAGCCCAATTGGAATCTGAACAAAAGCTGCGTTGTGATTTAACTTGGATCTGAAAAAGTGAACAAATATAAATTAGCTCAAGAAAGGCAGCGATTAGATATATGTTATTATATATTATGGAGAACATATTATATACGTTCTCCATGAAGAACATCCCATTCCTACTATGTTTCACTAAAATCGATGTATTTTGCTCCTTCGACAGTGCCAGAATCTACCAACACAGATGAAAAATGTCTGGTTGCGTTTTAATATATCTACTGGTTTCAGATCAATTTCTTGTTTATGGGAGTTGCTTCTCTCTCAATGCACATGAATGCATGCATCGCATGGATGAAATTACAAACAGAAAAATAAGAGGTAAGAGGCAGGCAGCATTTCTTGTGTCTGAACTAGAAACTGTCCAGTCTTGTGTCATCTCCCTGCTGTGAGTCACAGTACACCTGCTACCAGTATCCAGGAAAAATGAATATAAAATATAAACTGCCTCCAAAGATAGTTCCATCATCAAAATAAATGCCAGACTCCCAACTCTCAGACTCCGTTGAGTCTGGGCTGACACTAACATTTGTTTTGCTCCATTTTCTTGGGGAAAAATGGATAATTGTTATAGGTTAGATTAAGATTTAACCTCAAAACATAGATTATCCTCCAAGCTGCAACTACAGACTCCACAAGAGAACTTTTTTCAATATTCTAGCGTTAACCTGCTATGTGAATAGTTTAGAATTATTTCACAACTAATTTAGAGTGATAAATACCTCAACTGTTGTACTGCTCTGTTTGGACTAGAGCCCAGTCTGTCCAGTTTATTGATAAATGTTAAAAATGGCACACTGTAGCGTTTCATTTGCCTGTTCACGGTTATTGTCTGGCACTGAACTCCTCCAACAGCACAGAGAACCAGAATAGCTCCATCAAGGACTCTCAAAGATCTTTCCACTTCAATTGTGAAGTCCACATGTCCTGAATAACAAAAAAAAAAAGCCGTTATTCATGATAAAAGGAAATACGGAATTGTCTTCTCACAGCTACAGGAAAAAACAAGATCCAATCAAATCCGTCTTCAGCTATACAAGAAGAGCCACTTTAACCCAATTCAAGTGACTAATGGACGCAAAGACAGTATCATAGTCTTTGTATACATGAAGGAACAACGATCTGAAAGCGTTCAGAGCTTTCAGACACACTACCTGGTGTGTCTATGATGTTGATGTTGGTGTCCTTCCACATGGTATACGTTGCCGCAGACTGAATCGTGATTCCACGCTGTCGCTCCAGTTCCATAGAATCCATGATGGCTCCAACTCCATCTTTACCTTTCACCTTAGAAAAAAAACATGTATATATGAGTCCAAGAGAGTCTACTGAGAATTTTACATGAGCAGGAGTGAGGCTTTATACAGTGAGCATCACCCTTCATGCTGGAAAAAGGCAAAGTGGAATCATTTGCTATTCCTGAACCACAAACAAGTTTGGAATTTTTGGCCGTTTCATCTGCAACTTTAACGTACTTTGCCCTTCTGAGGGTCATTCCTGGAAAAGGTTATTGAAAAGATGCAGCAAATTCTGCTGCACTGCAAATTTAATGAAATAACACACCCACAGCTAAAAATTACATTTCTCACAGTCATCTTTGACCATATCAAGAGCACCGTCTGTCTGCTGTCACGTATTCACCAGAGACGGGGAGAAATAAGTCTTAAAAGTTTGATTTTAAGCGTTTTGAAAGCAGAGGGCTGCAGCGAGCGAGGGGCGCGCGGGGAGCGCCGGCGCGCGCCGGCCTGCCCGGACAACGGACCTCGTGCATCTGCGCTATCCTGCCGGTGTAGAAGAGGATGCGCTCGGTCAGCGTGGTCTTCCCCGAGTCGATGTGGGCGGAGATGCCGATGTTGCGGATCCTCTCGTTGGGAAGGAGCGCCGAGGAGCACCGCCGACAGGCGCTCAGGAGAAGCTGGGAGGAGGCGAGAAGAGGGGGTCAGATGCGTCAATATGCACTGCGCCGATTAAACAACAAAAACAAAATAAAACAAAAAAACTCCGAAGAAACAAACAAAACCCCTGCGCGGTCAGGCTTGCTGTAACGCTCTGGTCATTCAATGCAAG